ATTTTGGGCTAGGGTGTTAACTAGAAGGGTGACGCATTTTTTTGGTGTTCATTGGATCTATTTTTGGTGTTAGAAAGGCTTAGGCCCAAGTGGAGGGCAAAGGTTGCATGGTCTTATCATGCACCTAGATATAGCCAATCTAAACCCAAAGATTCCATCCTTGGCCACCAAGTTGCATCTAGGGTTCATTTGCATTTCATTTGGAATGCATTTGCCTACTCCAAATGCAACCCTAGATGCCTCCCCTCCTATAAATACCCAACACCTCACACCTTGTAAATACTTTGGATATTGAATATAAGGAGAGCCTTTTGTGCCTTTATATCTTTCCTTAGTCACCCTTGGCTAATTTGGCCACCTCCCTCCTATCTCCACCTTGAGAGAAACAACCCTAGAAGTGGCCTTCATCATCATGAAGTGAGCCAACCCTAGAGTACCCTTCTCAAGCATTTCCTCAAACACCTTCTACCCAACCTCCATGTTCGTCCATTCCATCATCATCCACCCTAAACCTTGTGCCACCTTTGAAGAACTTGATCCTTGGAGTAGGCGTCCTCTTCCTTTGCTCATCAGCTCATGTTCATGCAAGTAAGGATGCCATCACTCTCCAGGCCGCCTGCTGATATTGTGAGTATTATTGTGCTAGCCTCTTCAGGCCGCCTGCTGATATTGTGAGTATTATTGTGTCGGCCTCTCCAGGCCGCCTGCTGATGCTGATAATGTGATTGCCCCCCTCTTCTATGGGAGGATGTCTGATGAAGACGAGGATTGCTGGTAGGTGGTGCCCTTGTGATGGTGGGCAAAGGAGTAAATACTGAGTATTATTATGTCTAGCCTCTCCAGGCTGCCTGCTTATGATGATGATGTGATTGCTCCTTTTCTTTGGGAGGACGTATGATGAAGACAAGGATTGCTAGTAGGTGGTGCCCTTGTGATGGTGGGCAAAGGAGTTGATGGGTGACAGGGATTCTAGTGTTGCCCCTGCCATGTGAGTATTATGATACCTCTCCAGGCGTAATGCTGGGTCCTTTTGATGATTGTTTGTTCGATTATTGATGGATGGTTGGCAGAGATTCCAGTGTTGCCCCTTCCACGTGAGTATTGTGATGCCTCTCCAGGTGCATGTTGAGGTTTGTTGGTGACTGGTTGTTTGATTGTTGATGCCCCTGGTTTGGGCTACTTTTGCTCAGATGATCTCAATTGGAACTTGTGTTTCCCTTTTTGGATTTTTCTCATTGAGATGTAAAGAATGCTAAATGCTTGTTTATGCATGATGGTAATTTTACATATTTTGAATAATTCCCATTTGATAAAGAAAATTTTCTAAGTGTGTGAAGTGATTTTGGATGCGTGCAATGCATGTTTTGATTTTTTGTTTTTTTTAGAAGGTGGCTCTGCTTTTCTTCTTCTCACGAAGAGACTGCTTCGATCAATGTCCAACATTAGTCATATTGGCCGTTTGATGTATTGAGTCATTTTGGGGCTCCTTTTTTTTCTTTTTGTTTAGAAACCCTAATTTTTGCCTAGGTAGTATCCTAGCGGGTATTTTTTTGCTTTTTTTTTCATTTGCCCTAATTTTTGCCTAGGACGCCCTTTGCGGGTTTTCATCCAAGCGAGTCATTTTTATTTTTTTGTTTCTCTTTCTTTTGTACTTGTTTAAATTTTGACAACCGTCAATAATATACGTCATTAAGATTGGACAAGACAAAAAGGACTGGAAAGCATGATTTAGCATGGATGGTTAATGGAGGTAGGATGATTCAAAATGAATGGGTAGTTGAGGTAGGGGAGGGGTTAAGTTTCTTAAAAAAAAATTTCCTTGGATAATTATTATAATCATTCTAATAATTATATTGAACTAAATAGCTGAGTCTCAGGCAGAGTCTTCGCAGAATTTGGCTCCTTGTAGAAGTGTTCAAGCCGCCTTTTAACTTTCAACTATGATAATTATCACTTGCTATTTTTATCCTTTTTAGATCCCTAATTTTTGTCTAGGACGTGTCCTAGCGGGAACTTTCAATTTTTTTTCTTACCTAAGATGCCCTTTGCGGGTTTTCATCCTAGCAATATTTTGCAAGTGATATTATTTTTTTGGCATAACACTTCTTTGCTATGACAAAATCTCCTTCCATCAGCGTTTGGGAGAACCAGCGTCTTTGATGATTAACAAAGCCCCCCATTCTCGTACACCAAGGAGAAAGGTGTTGCCCCAACCTACAAGTATTGAGAGAGAGTTCTTTCATGAGCCAAGATTTGGGGTTCCTTTATCGGCCAAATTGGGCAAAAGTTGTTTTTTTTTTTTTGCAAGACTCTTCTTATGCAATGAGAATCTTGTGTAAGACTCTTCTAATCACTTTCTTATTTTTGTGTGTTTCGAGGAGGTGATCTTCTTATCTACCTTAGACTCAGATAATGCGTTGTAGATGTTCGAAGCTTTGATTAATTTTATTATCTTCGGTCATGTTTGTTTGTTTTTTTTTCATGGTGATTGATTTTGAATTTAATGTGTGACATAAGAGAGAAAAGAATAAACACAAGATATTTATGAAATGATGTATATTATTTGATGAATGCAAAAAAAAACTTGTACAAGCCCTTATTTTTGAACTCGTGACCGTAGGTGAAGTTCATGAGTTTGAGCATTTTATTTTTTTTTGGAAAAAGAGAGCCCCTAACAACTATCATCCCAAAATGGTTACTCATCTAGTCATTCCTTGATGTGTGTTGTGTTGGCCTCAAACTTGAGTTGCCCGGCATTGATAAGCTCTTGCACACGAGATTTCAAAGCATTGCAATTTTCTATGGAGTGGCTCGCTGCCCCGACATGATAATCGCATGTTTCCTCAGGCCTATACCATAGTGGGTAAGGCGGTTGCTACTTTCTTTGTGGTGGAGTTCTTACCAGCATGGATGCCTTCACCAATTGAGGGAATAACTCTGTGTAGCTTATAGGAATTTTATCAAGTTCCCTTTCAGCTTTTGGTGAAGTTTTGGTCGTTCGAGGAGTAGCGGAAGAGGTTAGAACATTGATTTCATTTCCCCCAAAAGTCTTCTTATACCCTTGGCTTTCAGGAAATTTTCCTATCTTCCCACTTTTTAGACCTTGCTCGACTCTATCCCCGATAGTGACTATGTCGGCAAAGAGAGTTGAAGTGTTCCCTATCATCTTGTCATAATAGGGTCCACTTAAGGAATTGATGAACATTGTCACCATCTCCTTATCAGATAATGAAGGCTCTACTTGCGCAACCATTTCTCTCCATCTTTGTGCATAGGTTTTGAAGGACTCGTCGCCCTTCTTGCTCAAGTTTTGCAAATCAGACCTATCAGGAATTAGGTCAATGTTGTACTTGTACCGACGAAGAAAGGCGTCGGCTAACTGTTTCCATGTCTGGATCTTCCCTCCATCCAACTGCATGTACCAGTTGAGAGCAGCATCTGAAAGGCTTTCTTGAAAATAGTGTATCAGGAGCTTTTCGTTGCTCACATAGGCTGCCATCTTCGTACAGTACATTGTTAAATGTCCTTTTGGACAACTGGCTCCGATGTACTTTTGGAAGTCAGGTATTTTGAACTTGGCAGGGAATTGGATATCTTGCACCAAGCACATATCCGCAGCCTCTTGAACGTCAAAATTGTGGCCTTCCACGGCTCTCAGTCTTTCTTCCCAAGCGTTCAGATGATCTTTGGAAATGTCGCCGACATTGCTAGTACTATTATCGTGCTGCAATTTGTTCATGGCCTCAAGCATTCTAGCCATTTGTTCCTTGAGTTGTTCAACCTCCTCATTGAGGACACGATTTCTTTCCTCTAAGCCTTCCATAGCTTTTATCTTTTGAGCTCGTGTGAGTATGGAATGTTGAAAAGCCACCTTTAAGGGATAAGATAGTTTTCTATCAAGCTTATTTAAATGGTAATGCATGAAGGGAGCTTCTATCAAAGACTTGATGGCTCATCCTTGTCGAGAGGTGAGTTATCGGTGTTCCTCTTCATAATATTTTATGATGTGACAGAGGTCACACTGATTTCTCATCTTTGATACAAATCCCCTTGTGATCCTAAATATATGATATGCATGTTCCCTTTTTTATTATCCTTTTATTTATTATATTTTTTTATTTTGTAGAAAATGCATGATGCCCCCCCTTTTTTTTAAAAAAGAAGGAATGTATGCTTCTCACAGATCTTATTTTCACACTAGGTTTTCTCTCGCATGATAATGCATTTTTTAATTTTTTTGTGTTTTTCTTTACCTTAGGGGAATTATAAAAAATAAATGAATGATTTGAATAGACAAAATGCAACAAACATATACTCATACAATCAACAAACAGTCGAGTATACATCCATGGCCTGTGGTCCCTGTTAAGAAAAATGCATTGTATAGGGCGGTTCTAATTATCCAAGGCCAAACTTGGGTCGGTCGTACGTCAACCACTCCCTATGTTTAATACTCTCATGCCCCCGGGTGTAGGGGGACTGTTGTGTGCTATGGTTTGTGTGCAATTTGTTAATTCAAACATGTGCGAAATTTAAACGAGCATATATATAATAAAGCCAAACAAATAAAGCAAACAAAGTAAAAGGAAAAAATATTTAAATTATTATTTTTTATTTTATTAACTTCATCAATTAAATGGGTCTGGCCCTCTTAAAACGTCCCCAGTGGAGTCGCCATCTGTCGCAACCCAAAAAATTTTGATCTTGCAACCTATGGTTCAGACATCCTTTTAAAGTCTCATCGATTAAGGAATGCCCGGACACCAGACTAATCCTTAATTAATGATTTTGAAAATAGGTTCATGGAGTCGCCACCAATGTTTTACTCAAAACATTGGAAAAAGAAAAGGTTTTTAAAGGTCCAATAATGGTCTTGATAACCAGAATTGGGTTCGGGGGTCGGTTACGTGTTGGGAAGGTATTAAGCACCCCTACAACGCTATTGATCGGTACCCTATGACGAAGTTAACATTATAAACAATAATAATATAAATATTGAATCCCCTTTTATTGATAATATTTACATGCTTGAAATTTAAATTAAACAATTAACTTTAAAATGTTTACATGATTGCTTTTATTATAATAATATTTATCAAAAATAAGAAATAAAAGAGAGAGAAGAAGATTGATTAAAATACCTCGTGGCAAGCTTTGTTAGATCTTCCAATATGGAAATTGTAGGTGCTTTGTGGGGACCTTTCACATTACACAAATGCCTCACAATACTCAAGAAATACAATAAGAGAGGGAGAGAGAAAAAGAGAGAAATTTCGAGCTGGAGTGCTGCACGAAATTTTTGGGGTCTCTTGAACTGTGGTCGAGATTTCTTATTTATAGGAATCAGACGTGGGCCGGAACGGCCCGTTCTGGATTCGGAACGGCCCGTTCCGAATCCGAACATTATGTAGCATCTTCGCACCCTAGAACGGCCCGTTCTGAAATCAGAACGGCCCGTTCCGGGGAACCAGAACGGCCCGTTCCGG